GCAAATCCTTAGAGAAAGCTGAACATCTACTTTGCATAAAGTGGAAAAAGGCTTTATCTATATTTTCTTGTAATCCGATTTAATACAAGCCTAAAAAAAACTCAGACCTTCCTGTCATTCTTGCACAACCATTCATTCATACCGGATTTGTAGAGTGCAAAGTGTCAGAGGTTTGGATTCAGAATGATAATAAATTTTCTAAGGAACTAGATTAGTAGTTTTTCTTTACAGTTTAACAGATTTCACTATTATTGTCCTCTTCTCAACTAACAGTGTGTGATGTAGACAATCAGCAGCTAAAGGGATACAGTCATATGCACAGACCTTGTATTCTTATGCTCCTCTATACAAAGGAAGCTACATATTATAAATCACATAAGAAAAAAATTATGCATTGAATATTGAAATCCTGTTGGCCAGATTGTTTTGCATAAATTTATTTTTTCTTAATACTTAAATAAACATTTAATGCAAAAAAAAAGAAAGAAAATGAAAAACCACAGAGTGAGAAGAATAGGATGCAAAACATTGCTTTCGTCAGATATGAGGGGAAAATAAGTGTTTCTTGTCATCTGAGCAATTGGTTGGTGATGAAAGTGGGAAGACTGATTTGGCTTAGTTTTGACCTTTATATTTTTGCTGTTAGCCTTCGAGAAGCATCAAGACAAAAACTATTTTGAGTGATTCAGTGTGATCAGAAATCCAGGACAAACTGGATTTTGTCTTCAAGTTATCTCTTCTTGTGGGTATAAAGGGATTAATGAGTCAGTGCTGGTATTAGGAGCAGTTATGTCTGGCTAAGCTGGATGGGGTGTCTAATATTAGCAGTTGAGCAATAGGTGTACTCTGAACAGTTTGATCTATTGAACATGTAATGCAAATATGTTTACATCATTGTTCTAGCTTTGATGGTCTAAAGAGAATGATGCACATGCATACTAGTAAGTAATACATGGACGTACAGTTTGATAAGTAGTTAAGTGTAAATATTTGTAGCACTGGAATATTTCTCTGCTCGTTTTCCTTCTTTACTCATTGTATATGCTGGCCAAACTGCATGTTTACTTCTAAAAATTTCTCAAATTAATTTAATAAAAATAATTTAACTTTTGTTTCATTTAACAAAGGCATTTCCTTTGGCTTAAGTCTCTTTCCATACTTCTGTAACAAATTATTAATGTCAGAGTGCTTCCCTGATGCCTTGTACCAATGTGCTAGTTTAAGTGAATGTCCATATTTGAGAATAGCTCACAGGTCTTAGACACAGCGATGACATAAAGTATACTTACTGCCTGTCCTGGTTAGTTAAATATGTACAACGGAAGGTGTCAGGCTACAGCTGTTTATTAATTTGTTTTCTAAGCCTTGGTAATTAATACCTTGCCTAGAGAAGACTGTGAAGAAGAGAGTAGATTAACCACTGAGAAATAAAATTTAATGTGTAAGCCCCTGTGACAATCCCATTCTATACTCCTGCCATTTAAAATTGTGCATATGTAAAGATATACCCTCATGTCGAGGACAAACTCCAAAATACTTAAAGTTACCCCTTCAGAGAAAAGGGCTGTGATCTGGTTAGGAAAGTGGGCACATGGAGAGTAGCGGGAAATTCTCTGGATTTTGGAAGTACGTGGTAATATGCAGTTTGGTGTTCATCTAAATATATGATTATTTATTGTTTCTGGAACTCCAAATCTGTGTTCCCAGTCAAGCACACCATTGTTGCCATTGTCTCCCATCACCCTGCCCATGCGATTCAGCTACAGCTTCCCTTGGAGATGCATTGCTGATTCCTCCAGTTGCTGACTGAAAGCAGATGTTCCTTGGGAAGTGCAAATGTTCTGTGGGAAATCCTCATGCACTGGAACATCCCATGTCTACATACTGCTCTTTGCATTCCTCACCCACCCTGCATGCGTGTTGCAGAAGGACCTGTATACTACAGAAAGATTGGAAATGTGGTGCTAACAGCTGCCAGTGAAGTTGGTGTCTATGCTACTTTATTTCACCTGGGTGAAGGGTGAGCCCATGAGAAACTGTCTCAGCAGAAGCTGACGTGAATTGATTTTTTAATAATGAGGAAGCACAACACTTTCTTTTTTGTTATTTTTATGCCTGTGATGTGATACCGAGGGCACACATTCAGTGCTGAGATTACTGCCCAAGGCTGCCCCTAAAGAGCTGCAGGAGCAGTAGTCCATTGAATTCATGCTGTTTCCGTTGCACGTCTTAATGAAGTTTAAAATGCTTGAAATTGTCTTTGGAATGAAATATTCCATAGCTGCAAGCTGACTGTGTACTTCATAATAATTGCTTAACCAAATAAAGGAAAACTGTGTGGAGTATAGAAAAATTAGATTGATGGCTAAGAGAAAATGATTACATAAAAAATTCATGAAGAAGAGAAATTAAAAAAAAAACATCACAGTCTTCTGCATGAAGAAATACTTTTCCTCCATAGGACTTTTCTTTTTAGCCTTTCCATTTAAAAGGAAAAGAAACACAATTTTAATCTTCACTGTTTTTGTTTGTTTTTTCTTTTTTTTTAAAGAATTGCATTAGTGATATTTGTAGCACAGTTACTGCAAAAAATGTTTAAGGAAAAACAAAGTCATAGCGAACCCAGTCCTTGCTACTCCAACACTTTGGTGTCCTGGAAGCATTTTAAATAGGCGTCTGATGATCAAGTGTCTATGATGGGTAAAGATGATCAGGTATTAAAAATAAGGTTTTATACTGATATTTTAACACCAGCTAGTATGATGAAGTCACAGTATTTTGAATAATTGCAAAGTTTGTTGAGAAGCCTTACAGTTTTCTTTCAGCAAGTACTTCATCTCTTTTCTGAATGCATGGCTATCTATTGCTGAAACTAAGGTATCACCTAAAAAGAATAGAAAGTTTCTGTGGAAATAATCTGTTATAACTGTATCTTTGACTTGATCAGCACTACTACATATAGTTTGGTCAAGAACTAGAATAGCAGGTTAGATGCGGTTATTGTCTCCAAGAACTGGAGCTTCCAAATAAATATCTGTGAAACCTCCGACTTTAATAGCTGCATTGTAGCTAACAAAAGATGTGCAACAGAATGAACTGCTGACCTTTTGGATACAGAACAAGCTGTTCACAAGATCTTTTCATTTATGGAGACAAAATGTCCCTTTTATACAAAGATAATACTTTCCACAGTTTTAAAACAATGTTGGTGAAATATAAAGAATTTTATTGTCTTATTTGTGAATGCAAGAGGCTTCAGTTGTGCCCCTTCAGATCAGGAGTCTTTCTAGATCAACTATGCTAAAGGCATTGATTCTCAGCTGCTTTTCTTTTGTTAATGACAGCAGAGGTATTTTTAGTCCCATGCTGACAGGATGGGTTATCATTAGCTATCCATCCATGTGATATTCACATGGTATCTGGCTTTGAATGATACGTGGATGAATTTATTGCCATTCTACACCTTATCTTTGAAGTCAGTTTACAAACAGAAAGGTAGCTGTGACTGAAATGGGCCTAAATTGTTGTGAAATTACGCTCTTGGTCTGAAGAGCTTCTGGGAAGCTCTCAGTTGCACATGCATACACAGGCACTAGCTGGTTGAGATCGGGGACAGTGAGGAGACCCGCATAGGGAAATTAGGGCACAACCTTGTTTTTCTCCTGTAAGGAGCAGTTCGTCCTTCAGTCTTAGCAGCTGTAAGTCCACTCGTGAATCACTACTTCATTTGTAACAGTTACTAGTAACAGCTAACTAGTAACAAGTAGTAATACTGCTAAGGTGTTTATGCTCTACAGTGCTTCAAAGAAATACTTATATGTCAGTATATATTACCAGAATTACTACAGTTATCTGTTTTGTTTGTGAATGAAGTATGAATTCATTCCTACATCATATATAATTTATGAGTAATTAAAATTGGAAGCACAGTTGTGTGAGTTACAAACCAATGTGGGTTGGCAGTGCTTAGAGTGGGCTCAGTAAGACAGGCAGCTCAGGTCCTGCCCAGGTGGGCTCTGAATAACCCTGGTCCTGGAGCTTCTGCAGCCTAGCCAGGCAGCCTGTCCTCACAGGGGAAAAAAGTCTCTTTTAACTAGATAAATTTTCCCTTGTTGCAATCTCTGATGTTTGCCTCTGTCACTGTGTTGCATGCCTCCGGGAAAAATCTGGCTTGGTCTTGTTTCTCTGTGCCATTGGGTTGTGGGATGCCATCATAAGACTTCCCTTGAGCGCTCTCATCTTGTAAAAAACCTTTTTGTTTCAGCTTTCCTCCTTGCATCTGGTGTGCATGGTGAAGGTTTGGATAAACCCTAAAATTAGCCTGGCGTGAGAATGAGGAATGTGAAAACTACGCTGAGGTCTGAGTTGGCAATGCCTCTCGTCCTGACAGCCTGAGGTGTTATGGCTGCAGGAGAGGTGTTCTGTTGGCAGGTGCCTTTAGTTATATTGATAGAAACCAATTGCAGGAATGTCAGGAGCAGAAAATAACTTTGAATAATGTAATTAAGTAAACCAGAGAGAAAGTATCCCAGCAATTAGCGATGCACACAAGTCTTAACTAGCTGAACATTTAAGTATGCTTGTTTTTGCTTCTCAAATGCTGTGCCTAGATGTTCACCAGAGTACATGGCAATCTCAGTTTTCTATTACAAAAATTTGTCTTCTGAAATTCTGAAACAACTTACTGGTGGAAATGTTGAATAGCTGGAACCACTCAGAAGAGCCAACTGGAATGTGGTGTTTGTGATAAGGACTCATATTCATTCCTGAACTGTGGCTTATTTTGTGTATAGTTCTGCTTGTTTATTCATTGAGAACTGAGGATGTGCTTGTTAATAAGGATCTCATCTCTGCAGTGTGAATGTATTGTTAACTGCGTGACAAATCAGTGATATACTCTTTAGGCTTTTTTCTTGCTATGCACACTAACGATAGGTACTGTCTTCCTCTTCTTAAAAATATATTGTACCTTTGACTTTTTTTTTTGTCTTTCTGTGCAGAAACTCTCCTGGATGACTTCCTTCTCACATACACAGTCTTCATGACAACAGATGACTTGTGCCAGGCACTTCTGAGGCAATATCCTTTTAAGTGTTGTGTTAACACTCATCACACAGTGACACCTAGGTTAGTATATTGTCAAGCTTAACTCATACCAACAACGCAAACCTTATAAATGTTTTTTTTTTTTTTCTTTTTTTGTTTAAAGCTATATGAATCTTTTCACCTTTTACAAAACAGTGTTTAAAATCAGCTAAAACCTATCTGGAACATAAATGTTAATTTTTAAGTACCTGTGTAATATACTGCAAAATATGTAAAGAATAGGTATTTTACAATGTCTGCACCTTTTGTTGTGTGATACAGTATAGAACTTTCTTTGTATTTCCGATTATTTCTATAAGCTATAGAATGTTGCTTGAATGAACTTGGAGCTATGAATTGAAATACCTTTTTTTTTACTTTTCTTTTTGTTGTGAAAGTCATTTCACCTACTGAAAAAAAGAATAGCGAAGGGACAAGAATGATGTATAATGTGCATATCTTCTGTCATTTGCTGTTTCTGCTTTGTGAATAGAGGACAATAGTGGAAATTGATTCTTTTTTTCTTAATAGTGTTATTTCGGCTTACAGTGTAATTTGTACAGGGAAAAAGAAACTGACTTCCTCTGCTCAATATTTTTCTTGTAATGATGCGTTGTCCTCTTTCATGCAGACATTCATGTTGGTGTCTGTGTGCAGGGCAAAGCTTTGTTCCAGCTTCTACAGGAAAGTTATAACTCAACATTGTATAATTTCTTTTAAATGGATTTTACTTTTTATAGACTTTTCTCTCTAATCTAGAAAGGAAAAAAAGTTCTGTTGACATAGAGAATGAACATTTATATTACTGAGCATTTCATTCCAAAAAGTTGATGCAACTCCCAAAGCTTCAAACAGGATAGGTATACGTTCAGAACTGGACAGTGTAGTGAAACATAGCCTTTCATTGCCAAACAACATGGAAGATGATTATGCATTGCTGAATTTCAAAGTTTCAATGAGTTCTTAGTTTTTATTTTCCTTAACTTACTGCACCTATTGTGCAAAGAACCATCAAGGGAAAGAAGATGACTCTGATGTATCCTGCAGGAAACGAAAGGTCTTGCATTTGGTGTCTCAGTGGACTTCTCTCTACAAAGACTGGTTACATGAAGATGAGCATTTAAAACAGTTTTTAAAGGTATTGAATCACTTCCTGATGCATTTCAATGCTGTTTAATTAGTATACAGTGTTTCAGAAGCTGCAACAGGAAAAAGTATAAAACATCGTTTTTCATATTTAAATTTTGTCCTTGATATCTATAATACAAAGTGTATAGTATAAAGTTTTTGGAAGAGGACATTCTGCATATGAGAGCAGAGACCTTAGGATTTTTGCTCTTCGGTACTAGGCTGTGTAGTACTGTATTGGAAATTGGGCATCATTCCAGCCACCAGCCAGGTTATACTGCTGCATGTACCTTGGTGCAGTGCCTTTCTGTCTCTAAGGGTGTGTGGCTGTCCAGTTTTTGTACACCCAATATTTCTGCTTGAGGATTTGGTGTGATATGAAACCGTAGTAACGTAAGTGATGGTTGAAGTTATATGTGTGAAAGCAATATACAGGTTTATAATTCAGAATTATTTATGCTGAGATTCTTAGATGTAGGAGTATTAATTGGGCTAAAACAACTTGATGACTCAGCCAAATACGTATGATCTCCATATTTTTAGAAGGAAAAGAGTAGCATTTGTGTGCAGATTCTGAAAAGGCATAGAAAAAATGTTTCCCTCAATTTCAACCAGCTAAGCCAATTCATTTGACTTACCTCTTACCTGTGGTGGTGTCTCCCAAAGTTGACTGAGGCTCCTAGTTGAGGGTAGTCAGAAAACGCTTCCTCCAGAAAGAAGAAGTAAAGTTTATTTATTTATTGGCTTAAAATTAAGAGCATGTTTTTGTTTGTGAGAGATATTACTCAATTTAAATGTACACAAATATGAGGAAAACTGGAGTAGAGCATTCATTTTAAAAGTCTAAGTCACATAAATCTGTTTTTGTCATTTTGGATGCGGAATGTTGGTGTGTTATGTTCTCAAGCTTCAGAATGGATTCTCCTGAATTAGATTTTGTGTAGCAACCACGAGTGCCATTTTGTCTGTAGACTAATGAGCATCAACATTTTGCTCACTCACTTGGTGTTGATACAGAGTGTTTCTTCTTAGCCAAACTGAGCACTGACTAGCCTGTAAAAATAAGCAAGGACATTCCCTGATCACAGATCTTGCAAAAGAATTATGATGAAATTTGTTGCAGTATGCTTCCGCCTGATTGATTTAGACCATTGCTGGGATACTTCAGATTTATTTTTGAGTTATTAGATGATTGCATAAAGTATTTATTTTACTTTGTAGACAATATACCGGAATGTGTTAGATGATGTGTATGAATATCCCGTTCTTGAGAAGGAGCTGAAAGAATTTCAGAAAATACTTGGGATGCATCGTCGTCAGTAAGTATTGATTATCCTTGTTATCAGATCTCATGTTCCTTAGTGTAATTTATTTTTGTTGTCATCTTGCTGTAATTCAGTAAAGATAAAGGGATGAGTGATACAAGTACTGTATTCGTTTTCACAATTAATCTTTAAAATAGAGCCAGATTATTCCATTTTATCTGACGTTTGTTGGGTGGTGTGGAACTTTGTGGAAAAACTGTCAAAATGTCACTCAGCAGTCTCTGATTTCAGATGATGCATCTTATCTCTCCTTCTCTCTCATGCAATATTGAGAAGCAGATCTATTTCTCAATGGTATTGTCAGGGTTATTATTTTATTAATCTGATGGTATTTTTAAAAGATGTTCCCTGGGCACATTTCTCCAGCAAATGGAAATTATTTCTGTGGTTTGTCCATTTGAGAACTGGAAGGACATTGGCTGCCACTGGTATCGGCATTCTCCAGGAGCTCCCAGACTGGCAGCATTTCTTTTTTCTGTACTGACTTTGTGACTCGCATGAAAGTTTTGTAGTTGAGCCAAGGGACCTCAGCTTTCACTAAAGGATCTCTACAGCCGTTTTGTGGAGACTGTAATTAAAAAATATATATATATATGTATATATATTTTTTTAGATTGCTGAAACTTTCTAAAGTTTGGATTGAAAGATAATTAGAATTTTCCTTTTTGTTTCAGCACTGTGGATGAATATTCACCACACCGAAAGGTAACACAAACCTTGTTTTGCTCATTGCTAGCTAACTTACAACCTTTCTTTCTTTCCCTCCCTCCACTTTCACTCTTTTCTTGGCAGTTCAATTGAAAGTGACAGGTGACCAAAAACATGACAGGATACATCAGTGAGGCTAGACCTGCAACATTGCTCAAGGAAATATTTTTTTCTGGCAGTGTCACCTGTATATCACTTGTGTGAACTAACCTGCAGTGGCTGTGACAGTATTATCATTTTAACAGCATGTCCTGAGGTGTCACTGTTGAATATTTTGAGTTGGGCGCTTGTCCCGCCTGGCTGGATAGATGCGAAAAACCTGGGCATACCAGTCTGAGCACAGGCATCAACTGCAGGTGTCAAGCAGCCAAAGCAAAGGGGAATTTGTTGTGATAGGGCAGAGAAAGAGAGAAAGAAAGAGGAACATGGATTTGTCTATTTAAGCAGAAGGAAAAGGTGCTACTGGAGACATATGAATTGTGCAGGGCTGAACTGCTGACCTACTGAAGTACCTGGGCTGAAGCATGTAAAGGGCTTAAAATGTTACAGTGGAAATACAGGAAGCAGAACATGATATTGTAATGAAATTGCTAAATAGGCCGATTGGTACAAAGGAAATATGTATGAGAAAAGTACGTAAGAAGTGACCTCTGCACATAACTACAGAGAACCTTGAGGTGTGGCTGCTGTTTGGTATAGGCATGTCTCACTTCCTCAGAAATTCCCACCTTTACCGTTATTAAGTTAGGCAACTTCCAGCTTACTGATGCAGGAAGGGTGGGTGAATTTCCTATACTGCAACCTTTTTGGCCAGATGTATGCATTGAATGCTGTATTTTATCAATTGCTGCATGGTAAAGGGAAGGAATGCAGACAGTCATTGTGTCTTTTTTTTCCTCTCCCACTCCCTTGCAGAACAAAACCTTTTTCCACCAGTTCAGTCTAAAGGAGAACTGGCTGCAGCACAGAGGAACCATGAATGAAGCAGAAGAAAGTAAGTATGACTTAAGAATGGGAAAAAGCCTTGCACAGTACTTTTAAATGTCAGGGTAACCTTTTTAGTAAGAGCTGCCTGTTAAGGTACAGTCTTCTTCCAGGCGTACAGCTTCTGAACTGAGCCCTGGGGCCCCGAAAGAAAAGAGATTTGCCTGTGTGAAGATTACTTGTCTGCCTCCTGCTTTGCAGGCGCTCAGCAGTGGAGTGAGATCTCAGGCTTTCCACCTGCCTGGTTCCTCTGTGGCCGTGTGACAGAGCTGTGCGGCTCACAGCCTATCTATCAGAGTTGGAAACTGTAACACAGGGCAGGAATAGTCTCCTGACCTAGATCCTGGGTGTGAGAGGTGAATGCACCTGTCAGGTTAAGTGGGGCAGGATCTGCTAACTCTGAGAACCTACGTAGGTGCTCTCCACAAAAACATTTCCATGTAGCGGGTGAGATGCCACTATGTTTTAACGTCAACTATTTCATTTTTCCCTTCATTGCTGCTAAAGCAATGGTAAAGTGAAGCTCTCACCCTGCTGTAGTGCCTGCGAGAGGAAGGAGGCAGAGAGGAGAGTAACATGCACAGAAGCAGAGAATAGGCAGAATTACGCAGTATTATCTTCCTTTCTTGGTGAAGAACTCCAGAAGTTCAGGCTGAGAGAGGGTATTTTTAGTGCTCATTTTAGTGCCACACGGTAAGAACTGAGCTCCTGTAGTGACAAGTCTCCTTTTACATTATGTACCGCTGGTAGATAGATAGCCTCTTTTGTGCCTAAAATTTATTTGAGGTTTAGGCTGACGAGGCTGCTTCTAAAATGTCATTTCTGGATGAAAACCCCCACGCTTATTTTTCTTCTTAAAAAAGTTTGACACAGCTCATGAAAAGCATAGAAGAGAGGGCACAGACTGAATGGCCATGGGGACAGGAAAGGCTGGACTCAGCAAGGCCATAAATTGCTGTTCTCTCTCTTCTTGGGAGCATGAGCCATGGAATGTGCTGGGACTGAGGGAATGAAATAGAAGGTGCAAGACTAGGGGGAAAGAGGCAGGTGCCTGGGCACGATGGAGGGAAATGGGATGGGCTGTGGAGTGCTGCCACATGATGGTGCTTGTAAAGGATGGGTTTGTCCAATGGCTCCTGCCCTTAGTGGCAGAGATCAGACCATGAGCATTCTACCTCCTAATGTAAGTATTTTCAGGATGGTTTACAGCCCATGCCCATGCCCTCCTGTTAGTGTTCCCTGCTGCGTTTCACTGAGGAGCAGTGTGGGCTCCTGGAAGGGATGACATGGCCCATGCCCATAGATACCACAGACAGAACATTTAAAAGATGTGTTGTGGGGGGAGTTTTGGGATAATTACTGTGATGATTGTTTTCAAGAACCTGACCTGTAGGTTGGGTTAGTTTGGTGCTAAACAGAAGATACATCAATAGCTCAAGTATAAGTTAATATTTTGCTGTCATTTTCCTCTCCCAAATGACAGAGGTTGAGGCTTCAAACAAAATCACTGCAGGCAAGTTGTGTTGCACTTTGCATATCGAGGGCAAATATTTATGTCAGATTTACTTATTTTCTTATTTAGAGTGCAGTTGATGTATCTGTCTATTCACAAGTTATATGTATTCTGAAGAAAGATTCTGACACATGCTGAGCACCTGATTTACTGTCTGTCAGCACAGACAGGTTAAGAAAAAATTATAAAATCAAATTGCTTTTCTTCGCCAAGGTTAAATGTCGAGTTCCTCCTTCCTTCTTATCTTCATTTTTCTCTTCTACAACACACACAAAAAAGATGTTCAGTAAGATAGAGTTGTTAACCATTTCTGGCATGGTCTCAGTTAATGGTACTGCCCTGAAGCCATGAAGATTCATAGGACAGACAAGGAGCTGTTGCTGCATACATCTGTCAATAAAAATACAGCATTTCTGGAAAAGCAAAATATTGTATTATATATATATAGCAGCCTATCTGCAACAAGAAGTACAAAAGTAGAAGAAAATTGAAAGTTTAAGCACAGAAGTGAGTATGAAATCCAGAGTTGTGGTGATTCTCATTAGCAGGTTTTTAATATTTTTAAAATATTTTTGCAAGTCTACAGCTGTTTCTTCCCTTTTTAAGTACAGCAGCTGTATTTCAAATGACTGGCTACAGCAAACTCAGCAAAAAAGACTGCAAACCTAAAATTCTGGGAAGCAGAGGGAGTATACCTCGCTTCTGAAGGAGCAACAAAATATTACATGAGCTTCCTGCAGCATTACTGATGGGAATCGTTTCCAGAGCCTAATTGGTTCTAGGACTTCAGTGGAAGTGATGAGCCCAGGGTTTGTCCATTTTCTCCAAATGAGTCCCTTTTACGTGTATTGCAAGTGACTTGGGATGGATTTGTCAGAATTAATTGCACTGCTGTTCAGGCAGCCTCTGCTGGTGCAAAAATGCCCTGGCAATGTACATCACTAAATGTCCAGACAGATAAGCTAGTGAGAGTAGTTACAGAGCAGGGAGCTTCTCGAGAAGCATGCTGTTCCAGGTGAAAGTGGAGGAGCAAAACAGTTTCTGCAGCAGGTATGAGACACACCAAAAGAATGCTAATTTATCTGGGCCTAGAAGGTAAGGACAAAAGATGATAACTGCTAAGGTTGCAGTGGTTGCAGAAGGTGCACAGCAAGGGAATTTGTATACATTGAGTCCTCAGGCTAGGAACTCTTAAATAGGCTTCCCTGAAATGAACCCATGGAGATGCATTTGCTTGTCCCTGTCATTTCCTAGAGGGAAGAGGTAGGAAGTGGGGAAATTGTGAGGTTTGTGCTCAGTTTCATGCCCCTGTTGGGCAGAGTGCAGGAGTGGCCTGTCTTGCAGCTGGGACTGGGGCTGCTGTGCTTTCCCCTGTTCCTTCAGGGTGCCTTTGGCTGCTGCTGAGCCTGCCCTTCTTGCTTTGTGCAGTTTTCTGCCGTGTGTACATCACGGAGCACTCCTACGTCAGCGTGAAAGCTCAAGTAACCACTTCAGCGCAGGAGATACTGAAGATTGTTGCAGAAAAGATCCAGTACCCGGAGGAGGAATTGGCACTGGTGATCATCACGTTCTCTGGTGGTAAATAATCTTACTTCATCCGATCACTCACCTCTTAGTGCAGCATGTAAGGGAGGGTTGGGATTCTCTGGTGCAGGATACAGCTGTGGCCCACAGCTGGATGACTATGGAACAATGAGAGCTGCTTCCCAGAGCCGTTCCCATGGAAACAGCTCATTCCCGAGTAACACTGGATGAGGCATTCCCTTGCTGGAAATGGACTGCAAAAGACTCTCCTTATTCAACAGTATTACAAGATTTTTTTTTTGCCCACACATAAATCTTCAACTTTCAGATCTAAATTAATTTAGAAGGTGCTGAGGAAAGGTTTTCTTTTAAAATATAAAAGGGAATAACAGCTTCTGAATGTGTGGCTGTTTCTTTACAGGATGGGTAGTGAATATTCTCCAATAGAGACAAGGGAGGCATATATTTGCACAGATGAGATACTGAGCATGACCTAGCAGTACTTCGTAGACAAACTTGCTTATGACTGACGTTTTTTGCCTGTTAATGTTTCTTGTTTAACAGAGGAGGCTTACTGTCTTTTTCTGAGGAGGATCAGACTGAGGGTAGGCTGATAGTAGGGAACTGCCAAGCTATCAGGTCTTAAGATCTTTTATTCAGGTTTGCTCACTGTAATACCTTGTTGGGCTCTTATTGAAAATAAAATGTAACTGGGTATGTAGCATGAACAAGTGGACCCACAAAGTAGGGTTAAGCCTTTACAACACCTGGGTCATCTTCTCAGCCAGCATTGCTGGATGTCAGTCCCCTAAGGCAAAGGATGAGCCCTTAAATATACTTCACTCATACTTATTTCTTTGGCAGTGTAGTTGAATGAAATATAGACAAATGCTGAATTGTCCCACTTACGTATCCAATTCAGAATTGGAAGCCCACATTTTTCTCCCCCACACTAAGCACAGTTAAATAATTCTGTGGGTCTCTGGTGTGAGTGGCAGGAGCTGGAGCCTTAACCAACAGTCAAGAGCTTGGGCACCATAGGCAAAGGGTGGCCATATGGGAGCTTCACATGTTGGCATCTTGACCAGCTGGGTTGCATCTCTTGCAGACACATTTACCCTTGTGCGTGCCCAAACTCAGATCCAGTGTGTTTTGCAGCCCTGCAAGATCAGGCTGCTGCGGTTGTTCTTCAGATCTCGTGCTCCTGTTCAGGAGCAGGGCAAGCTTTGCTCCGCTAGCAATGAATCTGGCACTAACTGCCTACTTGCTTATGTAAAGAAAACTGACAATTCACAAGTAATGAAAAACAATATCATTTCTTAACTGCATTGTTTACTGAAAAAGCCATAGAATAGAAATAATTGCCATTTGGCTGTTCAGTAAGAAATAATAATTAAAAAGCTGGTACAACAGACTGTCATCTGTACATGACTATTGTAATTCCTAAAATGCTCTTTGGTATTGACTGAATTAATTGGAGATAGAACAAGGGTACTGAATTTGTGCTTATGCATTGTCACTTGTGCACTGTGTGCAATAGTCAGCAGCCTGCCATTATTTCTTCATTTTTTCTTTGTTTTTCTTTTTTGTGTGACTCAGAACTGTCATCTGCCATCCACTTGGAGGGCAGCAGGATGAGCATTGAAGAACACATCTTTATTATACTCCTAAAATGAACAAGCAAGGTCTTTTTGTTCAAAATTACCTTGGAAAGACATACTGATAGTTCAGCATGAATGTATCTGGTGTCAGGGTGAGCAAGGGAAATGGCAAAACTGAGTAGTGTTTTTTGATGCTTCGCCCTTGAATGCCTGTTCCTACTCCTCCTTCATGGGCCATGAAGAGTCTGAGGTGGCTGTCAGCATGGTTGCAGTTCTTTTTGGTCTACATTAATACAGTGACTGTAATCAAATATCACGTCAGCTCTCCAGAAAATTACTTCAAGCCCATAGGAAAAGACAGTTTTCTTAGGGCATGGATGTTTAAACTTTGTTCTGGGTTTTTGGTTAGTTTTTCTTCCACTTTTCTCTGGTGCCTCTAAGATTGCCCACTGGAGAAAAAAAATCCTTTCTCCTCACTGCTTGTCTGGAGAGTCCTGCTCTTTCACTCAACTGGTTACTTAACAAATTCCTATAGGTCTAGAGGAATTTCTCTGTGTAAATTAATTAGCAAGGGGTTGGTTTGTTATTTTTTTTTCCACCCATTGCTCTTCTCTGTGGGGTGAATGGCTATTGATGACATCTCCCCGTTCTTTTCTGCTTGAGACACACAACAGCTCTGTCTCTTGAGGCTGAGACACATTGCTCTAACTAAAGTCACTGTGCTTGTGGTAGATACATTGGGTTGAAATGAAATGTTCAATAATGCGTAGGAGGTTAGGCTGGAAAATTTAAGGGTTTATCCTATATTAAGTTGAAGTTGAAAGCATATATTTTTGTTTGTGCTGTAGTCCAGCATCAGATACATCTTACTTTTGTTGTTCTGAATAGTGTGGAAATGATGAACCCATGCCTGGAATTGCATGGGGATTGTGTTTGATGCTGAGTTACATTCTACAAAGCTGATGTGACTTTTCAAATATAACCTTAATATTCTTCTCATATTTATACTCCTTTTCTTAAGAAAGCTTATACTACTTTTCTGAAGCTTCTGTGTTTTGTTTTCCATTTTCAAAGAAAAACATGAACTACAACCAAATGACTTGGCCATCTCAAAATCTTATGAGTCATCCAGTCGTATGTTTGTCTACCGAAGAGACCTGACTGATTCTTTGGTAAGCATATGTATTTTGTATTCCCCTTTTTGATATGTCTGATTCAAGATCAAGGGCTTAGTGTTCCTTTAAGAGAGTTTTTTCAATATGTAATTTATTTTTTAGTTCCTCAGTGGAGCTTACTGAGCTGTTCTATACCTGGAAAAAAAAATCTTGCATTAACAGCAGTTATTTGACTGAGCAGTAATGGAATTTGTTCATCAATTTCAAATAGACCAAAGCTTCTATAGAGCTTAAATCTTTCAATCTACGTCAGCCCAGAAAAGCTGGCTTGTGCTTGTACGGGACTGACTGGGATGAGTATTACTTCAGAGCTCACATAGCTTTTTTCTGTTTTTTTTTTTTTTTTTTGCCTTGTGTGCCTGTACAATACTTAAAATGGCTGGTGCAGAATTGTAGGAAGTGATAAACTCTGCATAACATATGAACACAGAATTACTACATGTAGATATATATAGAGTGAGTTATATGAAAATTACTGAGCATCAGCATGGCTACGGTGTTGTGGTATCCATATGGTTATATTGCTGCTGCCGTCACCCCTCCCCTTCCTTCTGTCTCTCTGGTGCCAGAGAGAGTGGGTTGGAGGGCTGCAGTTCTCTCATTCCTGCTCTCCTCCAAAACTGAGATCGCAAAATCTCTCTCCCTGCTGATTTCCTGAAACCTCAATGAGGCAGGAACTCCAGTAATTAGTCTTTTCTGCTAATTATTCATGTGCTTTGAGGAAAGTGTGGGGACAGTATTGCAGATGACTTTCACGTGTTGTCAGCACTAGCATTTGTGCATTCACCCGAGCTATGAGAAATGTCTATTTACATTTTGTTGGATCAATGTGCCCTGAAGAGCTGACATGCTGATATCATTGTAATCCGTCATCCCCATTATCTCCAGCATTTTAGCTTCCTCTAAAAACGCTGGCATTAAGGAAAGGTTTGCAGTGTGGTCAGGTGACAACCAATCTAGTTTCATTAGTTGCATAATAAAAACGGCAGAACTTGCTGTAACTGTCAAAAATAAAGCGCCAGAGCAATGGCTTAACTGATAAGAATAATCTTTCATCTTGACAGATTGTTCATGTGCCAAGATTCAGACTGATGAGGTAAAAAACCCAAGAGAAATACAAACCTTTGAAAATCAGAGCTAATAATGGCTATGTCAAGTGACCATTAATACCAGCAGTGCCTGTGAACTCCACAGTGATAACCTAAGTAACATTTACGAATCAGAATGCGCAGTGTTTGTTGGCATTTAGAGTAAATTAATCATAAAACAGGTGGATTTATATTTTTTGTAAGCATATGTTGAATGGTGGCAAGTTTTGTGAATTTTTTCTAAATCTGGTATGTTCGCAGAAATTTCCTGGTGTCTTAATTAAAAAACTACTTTCTGATCATTTCAGGGATCATATTTTCATTACGTTCATTACTTGTTTGGTCATTTTTTCAAACTCAAAGTTTAGAGAGAGAGGGAGAAGTCCTAATCCAATAGGCCATAATCAATCCTATTGACCCATTTCTTGTTTCAAGCTATTTATTAAATTTGCTATCACTCACCAATTTTAATTAATGTGGGGAAAAAAAAGCCCTCAGTACACTTAGAGAACATTACTTACTCAGCTTTGTTTTGTACCTTGGTCTAGAATCTGTTTCATTGTGAGCCTTTTGGCACTTGCTCAGGATTTTTTGTTTTTGTCTATTAATTCAGAGCCCATTTGCTGAAAATGAAGAGTTGCAGCAACGGTCTGTGAGAATTTTGGGAATCAACACCTGGGATCTTGCCTTAGAACTAACCAACTTTGATTGGAGCCTCTTCAATGCAATTCATGAGGTGAACAGCATCATGTCCACTTCCAAATATATTACCATCGTAAAATATTATGTTGCTATGGGGTTCTGAAGTTGCACTTGGATTGTAGTTCATCACCATGACAGTGTAATTTCTCTATAGTGATGTTAATTGAATCAGGTCCAGAGCTGTGCAGTAATCCTTGATACTGAAAAAGTTTGCTAAAGTTTTGTAGCTTCCCTATGGTGATGCATCTCATGTCCCCCGTATATCTCATGGGTTTTACTGAGATTTACCTGAAGAAAATAAAAGATCATGGTTATTCTCAAAAATACCCTGTATTCACATGTTGTCTATGCAAGTTGTACTTTGCATTCAACATTATTCCAGTAAATATGGAACTCCACAAATAGGTATCCTTGATATGGCTATAATCGCAACAGCATACACTATTTCAGAAACTTCAGATGTTCATAATACTGCTCTGGTTTGGCTTCAGTGGGATAAAAAAATATCAGACAGGATATAGAAAGGGGCATAATTGCCCACTTCTGTGTCCATTGGATTATTTCAACAACTTTGATAGGTTCTGGTGTGAGCTGCTGAGTAAAACACACAGCTCACACTGCAAAATGTCACTTGAAAATATCACTTACTGAAAAGTGTGATGGCTTTTTGAGAAAACAACACGGAAATTCTCTTACCTCCCATCAGATTTTCTTGATCTTTCATTTCATGTTCTTTTATTCAGGTTAGACACAAAAACTAGAGCTAGTCAAGGCTTTTTGCACAGAAGGCAAGAGCAGCTCTTCTGTTCGTGAAAACTCAGTCATTTTTAGAAAGAAATTGGAATGGAAAGCTTTCAGATTCTGCAGTGCTCTGATAGGGTTGCTTTTTCACACTAGAGTAGGAGTGATGAAATACAGAGACAGATTGGTATAACCACATGTGGAACCGCAAGAAATCTCACAAGGAATCTTGCAGGACTTTCAGTCTATCTACGTACTGAAATACACCTCTAGAGTTTGCTAAACCAGATTTGAAACCTGAATCATTTGTGATTGGCCCGTGAACAATAAAAAATAGCCATTTGTTACTAAATCTTGTTTCAAAACCAGTATTTTAAATAATGTATACCTCATTTATATTTAAACTGTATTTCTTTGTTCATGTCTTCCAGCAAGAGCTGATATACTTCACATTCAGCAGACAGGGCAGTGCTGAAAACACTGAGAATCTCAGTCTTCTACTTCAAAGATGCAACGAAGTCCAGCTTTGGGTTGCCACCGAGATTCTTCTCTGCACTCAGCTCTGCAAACGTGTACAGCTAGTCAAAAAGTTCATCAAGATTGCTGCCCAGTAAGTTTCTAAAATTACAATACAAATCCTTGAGTGTGTGTGCCTTACATAAATATTTATTGGGAAAGAAGAGTTAGGTGCAAGAGCAAGGACAAAAAGCAGTTTACTGTGTAGTAAACATACATAAGCAAAAATAGCCCATAAACAATAACAGCACACACTTGCTGAAACTAAATGTGGTGGAATATACAGTGTACAATTCTTTTCCAGCAGTTCAGTTAACATATTTACAGTATCAAATAGAAAATCCCTGATGCTGCAGAAATACCTCCTTCCATAGTAGGGATAGTTCTTTTCTTTGCAGAGATAACTTGAGGGACTCCAATATAAAGCAGCACTGTTATTCGCCAAAGACTATAAGAAAAACAGAACATTCTGTTTTAAACCTGAAAGGTCTAATTGGAGAGGAAAATGACTGCAGTAATATGTTGCCCCATACAATCTTGTCTGGAGTACTCTCTGATTTATTGGAGCAGGACGGTTCCTCACTAATCAGATTTGACCATCTATTCTTGCACTATTAGTAAGTAGTACTGGCATTTATTTTGTGCCTTGGAACAGCATACATACGTATGCTGTACACAGAGAGCTTTTTTCTCTGAAATCACTCTTATTTTGGTAACCAAGGGAGTGGAGCAGTTTAAATATGTGCAGCCATTCTCCTTGCCTCTTTCTCCTCTTGCTGGTCTTTTGCAATATTTGAATATGCATATTCATCAAAAATGTATAATTTGTTCCCCTCATCGACTGGATTGATTTAATTTGCAAGGCAGTTACATACAAAAGCGTGTTGTCTGCTGAAGCAGTGCCTTTGGCAAAATTAATTCTCCTAATCTAATCTTGTGTAACTCATAAATGTGATCTGATTTAGTTTGCAAGTTCTATGGTATATGGTAATACGTTCATCTTCTGCCTTATCAATGGCCATGTTTGGTCCAATTACATCAAAAGTGAATGGTTCTGTCCCACATGAATGTAGATATATTTGTCTCCAGACTAGAATGTTGCTCTGTCTCAATTAATTCCATGTCTGTGAAGTGAATAGTCCAAGTTGTGGAAACTAAATACAGTTGTCAGTAAATGATAGACAGGCTCTCCCAGTGCATTGGAGAAGCACCCCATCACCCAGCATGTTTCCAAGTGAAAATATGATTGTATCTCATAAATTCTGGAAGAGTTGAAGGGGAAGCGGGTAAGGTGCAGGGATAGTGTTCCAAGCAGAGACATGATCCAAGCAGCCCTGCTGTTTTGTTTATGATGAAGGGAGGGAGGCAGGGAGCTCTGAGCTGCTCTGGCTGCTTCCTGCTCCTTCAGAATCAGCAAGGAGTTTCTCTCTGATTTCCACTTTGTCAGCAAAATAACAGAACTAAGATCTTACGGTGTGTGTGTGTGTGTGTGTGCTTCATTATTGAGGGAACTCCACCTGCAGAAGATGGGAGGCTTTTACACAAGTATGTCAGTACTTAAGGAGAGACAGTTATTGACACACAGATGTCTATTCTTCTGTTGATGAGTTAGTCTAAAATAGAAAACAAGTGATTTGAGAGAGAAAATAAGTTAGCATTGCTAGAAATGAGCATCTAGAAAAGTCAGAGAAGCAAGTCAGCATGGTGTTAGAATAAATGGATTGTAACAGATGCCTTCATGTTGCTCAAGGGGTGGCTGACTGAAATACATACCTTCTCTCTGCAGTTGCTTGAGAGAATTGGATCCTCCAATAGGAGTTTACCCAGGTTGTGTTGGACTCCTTTCTTGCTTCACAGAGGATTACCTCTGAGAGCTGCCTTACTTTAATGATAAAAGAACTCAAACAACAGAGTCAGGATTAATTTTAAGATAACTGAAATTAAGTGAAAGGCGCCATCTAAAAGTGGTATGCAGTGATGAGTGTGAGCTTTATGCAAACTTGTAACAAGTGCTGGAGAGTTTTCAGTTTAAAGCATTGGTACATACTTTTCCCTGATGATTAATCCCATTGATGACAGTGGATTCGCTCATACTTAAAATCATCTTAGGATTCTGTCTTTCTCATACTCACAAAATTATACATCTGTTTGTTGTAGTCTTCAGGAATCTATAGGAGTGGAACCTTCTTTGGGCTCTTTATTTCGGGATATATATAAAGAGACAAGGGGTCTTTATTTCGGGATTTCATATTCTCTAATTGATTAGAAATAAGCAGGGACTGACTGTATGTAGAGAAATGTCAAAGAATAGAGGTATCAAGTGAATTCTGTAGAGACCAGTACTAGAACTAGTGCAAACTACAACTAATTTATAGGGATATGTAAGAAGAACATTAATCAGATTTTCAGACAATAAAAATGATGAGGGATTGTAAATGCATTGGAGGATAAAAAAAAAAAAAAAAGAATGATCTAAAGAGTCTAGTGGCATGTGCAAACAACAGTGGGATAAGATTTAATTTAGATAGATGCAAAGTAATTCAGCTAGGGAATTCTAATACCGAGCTGAAGAAATAAATGCATGATTGTAAAGAATGGTACTGTGACAAAGGTCTTTGGGTGATAATAGATGACAAATTAAAGACAAGGACAAAGTGTGATGCTGTTCCAAGTAGATATATTTTATGTTTATTTTATACTCGCACAGGAGAAAGATGTAAGAACTTAGAGGGAAAGCAGTAATTGTGCTCCTCCTTCCTTCCCCATTGTCTCATTACTTCTCCTTGGTAAGAAAGAGAGAGGGAAGAGAAGTTAAAATGAAATACAAAGAATTCAATGAAAGATAATAGCAGTATGAAGAAATAGATTGCAATCCATGGCCACAAGGAGAAATTGAAGGAACCAGTGATGTACAATTTGCAGAAGAAATGAAAAAGGGGATGAAAATATTTATAATACAAGAGAATAGAGGTCAAGGATTTATTCTGTATGGTAAAGGACAGCAGAGAGTAACTTGAACACTGAAAAGGGAAAATTACTTCCGACAGCAAAGCAAGAAAAATAACCTGCCAACTACAGGCTTGATGAAAGATGGAACACTTGCTAAAAAACTTCTTTGAGACCACATCACCTAGACTGCAGGTGGCCATGGTAGGATGTTTAATGAGTTCATTATGTGGAAGATGATTGTATGTTAGTGCTGAGAGCTGAAATTGGACTCAGTAACCTAGGATACCCGTGCTTTCCATTTATCTCTTATTCCGAGGACAAAAAATCAGAATACAACATTCATATTTTTATTCCACAGCTGTAAAGCCCAAAGAAATCTGAATTCATTTTTTGCCATTGTTATGGGTCTCAACACTGCGTCTGTCAGCCGGCTGTCTCAGACCTGGGAGGTAAGATGCATCTTTGTATTTTTTAGATTCTGTCAACACCAATTCTCATGTATGTTGTGTACTGGTGAATTACCTTTTCTTCCTAATTATTTGTTTTTTCATGCTGAAATCAAACGGAGAACAAATGTCAGTAGAGAAACTTTACTGTGACCTGAAGCCTTAGATACGTACCTATTCAAATAAATGTGTCCTTCCAGAGCTTTTGAATAAGAGCAAAGCAAGGAGTTCTCAGCCTTTTAGAAAAAGTCAGGTACATTATCCTAGCATTGTAAGTATATGTCAGAAAAGAACGTCTTATAAGGTTGGTTCTAAACAAGGCATTTCATTTATAAAATGAAAAACAAAACTTTTTAACTTCTCCTTGATTAAGTCCCTCACAGTTGCCATGAATTTACATACTGGAGAACAGAGATTGACTGTTAAAGAAGCTATCAGTTGCCAGTCAGAGCATGTTTAGAGTAGGGTTCCACTGAGACTTGTGTTTATATTGTCCCTTGTTTGTTTGTTATTCCATCTCAGTAGATTACTGAGTAGTAGTTATCTGCAAGTTTACTGTATTTGCTGGTGAACCTAAAACTGAGGAAGGAGTAATTTGATGTTATATGGGGAGAAACATCATCCCTTGCCACTGCCCTAGCACCACAAGCAGGCAGGATTCAACAAATGTGAACCTATAACACAAAGTGACAAAGAATGGAATCTTTGGAGATGCTTTTGAGTACTAGTGGCTATTGAAGGGTTACAAAGCTATCTAACACATGAAATCATGCATATGTAAATGGCACTGCATATGCCAGTGACTTTGGCATGCAGAGAAATGAGGGCAATCACTGTTACTTTGGGGTTGAGTTTGCAGGGACTCAGTCAAAACTACCTTTAAATAACAGATTAAACAAACAGTATAGGGAAAAAACACATACGTTATGGAATCCCCTTGTGTCTTTTGATTCTAAAACACTTTGCCCCACTCTGTGTGTTTTCATCCCTTTTATGTGGACTGTAGTAGAAGACTGTAAGAGACTAAGTATTGTTGGCAACAGTGTGTGATTCTCTTGCCCATACAACAGGGAACTCTCCTGCATGGTGAGACCCCTCTGAGGATCATGTGCCTCTGGCAAACTTCTCTAGAAAGAACAAACTGTGTTGCTTGTCTGAACAAGGAGTGTCTCTGCACGTGTATCGCTGTAAATATGTCAAGTTCCTGTGTGTAAAATATTTATGAAGTCACAGGCATTTTTCAAAAAAACTTCTCTGCACTGCAAATTTCAAAAGCAGAAGGTTATTTGCATTAGTAATGTGACTTCTAGAAAGTAGAGCAATGTTTATAAATTAATTATAATTACTTACACATGTAAATGAAGCCACCTAAATTTAAGCAACCATTTACACACTAAATTATGTTGGTTCTGCACTTGAATTCTTAAACAAGCAGTGCGCTCCCAAGCATATTCTACATTTTTTTCTACAGTATGCAGTATTTTAATGACCCTAACTTTCACTGATTAAAGATATTAAAAATGTGCAATTGCAAATCCATATCCAGTTATTTTAGCATTTTAATCATATCACACACCCACTTAATCTTAATTGTTCTGAATTTCTGTTCCCTGATAGTATCATTGTGGCTCTCAGGGTCTAAGTACACGAGGGAGACGGGATTTGTAGTAAGGGGGATAACTTCTACTGAACTATCCAGTACAGCTGGAAAGAAAATACAAGTTCCCACAAACCCTTCTGAAATACCAACAGCAAAATTCCTATTAAGGAAAAATTGCTTTGACTATAATGACGTAAATCCATTAAAGCATCTTAGAGATACAGGCAGCAGATGCTTATGGAATAGAGTAGGCGTTAGCATACAAAGGATGAAGGAAGAAGCTATTTGTGCTTAGGCTCTCATGGAATCCTTCCCTGTCAGATTAGAATGAGATATCAGAGATGAGGTACTCATTTTTTACGAAAGTTCTCTGACACCAGCATGGGAGGTAAATAAAACGGCTGTTAATATGCTGTTTTTGTAAAAGAACACATAGGTGTGGAGGCTGCAGGATGTAGTGCAGCTCTGGTATCTTGCCAGCAGGCACTTCACAGATCAGTTCTGTAGAAAAAAAATTCAGCATTTTTCTTTGTTTCTTTGTTTTTATTTTTAACCAACTCTACTTATTTTTTTTCTCTGCATTCCCCACTTCAGAAAATTCCTGGAAAGTTCAAGAAACTTTTCACAGAATTGGAAAGCTTGACAGTAAGTACAGCACTGGCAGCAAAACAGAGTTGCTCATCTTTACCTACCACCCTTCTTTCTAATTTATGTTGAGCCTGCCTGTCACTGGAGCTAGAACCTGGTTGTGTCAGATCAGAGATTTGCTGCAGACCATGCAGCCCTCCAGAGCTCAGAGGTGGTCTTGAAAAAGCAAAAAAGAAACAGGCTGTGCTCCTGACAGCTGGAGGAAGGGCAGAGTGAGGCGAATGTGTCACCCGTTCACCAGTATCATCAGTTTGAAAACTGTTCTATTGCTCTGCTGGTTAATCATCCTCTGTCTGAGGAAACGTGCTGCGGATCTCAGACAAGGAGGACAGCTGACGTTAAAAAAAAATAAAAATAAAAATAAAATAAAAAGTAAGAACCTAAGGGTCTTTGTTCTCCATTATCAAAGCTGAGTAAACAAGTGTTTCCTCTGGCTGTCAGGGAGCTGGGTGAGATCGCTGCCTAGTGCAGGGAGCATGAAATCCAGCCTTTAACCATTGTCATGTTGCTGCACTATAAGTCCTTTATTAATTAATGTGTTTTTAAGATTGTCTGTAAGCTGGTGTACAAAACTACTTGTTTAGAGAGGAAATTGAGATGAGTTTTTGAATTGCACAATGCCACTGAATCATACTCTCTTATTTTCTTTGAAAATGTTTGTTTCATTGATCTGAGAATAGGTGTTTGGTAGTTGTTTTGCTTTTGTGAGGGAGGGTGAGTGGAGGTGTGGGTATTGTTTGCAAGAGGAAATTTATCAGCAATATGCTCTAGGGGTACATTTTGTGCTAGAAAGTAAGCTGAAGGAATTTAGCTAATAGAAAATCATGAGGAAATTACAGAGTTGTTGAGGTGTATCAGTTCTGCAACTTACTCCAGTTTTAGAACTGCTTCATCTAGAGGAGCATAATTACTTTTGTTCTTCTCATTGTTTACATTTCCTTTTCTGTTTAGTAAGCCACTCAGTTTGAAAACCTTTATCTACCTCATTTCCTGAAGAAGCATTCTTATATCTAAGTTGTGTTCGGATCATAAGCCGATAATGGATTTAGAATTGCTCTTTTTATAGCCTATTGATTTTTCTCTCTATTACCCAAATGGTATTGTAGGACCCTTCGCTGAATCATAAAGCTTACAGAGATGCATTCAAGAAAATGAAATCTCCGAAGATTCCCTTCATGCCCTTACTTCTGAAAGGTAATGTTAAAGCTTGTCTGCTCTTCTTTGTCATGTGAGTGCAAAATGTGCAAAAATTTGTGGAGGTTAGTTAAAATACTCATAAGGAGATTATTCTTTCACATGGAGTTTAGGTAAATATGTGGCAGATACAGTGAAATCCACAAGAAAATGTTCTGTCTAGATAATAATAAACACAGCTGCTTTTCAAGTCAGGAGGAAAGTAGGAATTTTCACAGCTTTTTCCTGGGCAGAGCCATGCCCCACTGCTTCACCAGGGTAGAGCAAGCTGATGTTACTCATTTTGTAAAGCTGAGCGAATGGGATGCACCCATCCGTCCTCCTGCAGGCTGAAAGGCGTGACAGAGCTATTTGCTAGCAGTGACTTGGGCAGCCAGCTCAGTAGCAGGTATCTCGGTTATTCCATTATCTCAATGTCATTAATTATTAATCACCTTGTCTAGAACGTGACAAATTCATTTGATTATTCCTGTGTTCCGAAAGTGTTCTCCTTAGGCTGTTTGTGCTAACCTGCTACTGCTGCAAGTTTAACACGTTTGGAGACAGTTTTCCAAATAAGCTGGTGACAGTTTGGTAGCCACAAGATGCTTCTCTTGGCAGGCTTCAAAGGCATTTGCATTAATTCAGCTGGATATAATTACCAAGGCTTCAAAGAAAGGCAAACCTAAACAAGTAACTTGTAACAATGATGTTTGCACTGCTCTGCTATGTAAAAGCATGCACCTAAGAAGCATTCATGCAATGCAATCTCATGCCTCTAAAGTGTGCTGGATAGCAGAGACATTGCAGAATAACGCAGCAAGCTTCTTCAGTATGGTGATCCAGAAGGAAATGTTGCCAAGGCTGGTGATTCCCAATGTGTTGCACAGTACGTATGATGTAGGAGGAAATTCTTTACTCAGAGGGGTGTGAGGCACTGGTATAAGCTGCCCATAGAAGCTGTGGATGCCCCATCCCTGGAGGTGTTCGGGACCAGGTTGGGTATGGCCCTGGGCTGAGCTGGTGGGTAGCAGCCCTGCCCATGGTTGAGTTGGAAGTAGATGATCCTTAAGGTCCCTTCCAACCCAAGCTGTTCTATGACTTCATTCTACATCAAGCATGTTTATATTAAAATTATTTGCACTATGATGTTAGCACAGAAATCATTAATGAATCAACAAATTCCTATATTTTACATTTTAGCACAAGAGGAACAAAACTAGTTTCAAGTAAATGAAATAAGAACCTTCCTCTGATTATGAGAAATAACTTCAGAGTGTCCTTTTAAAGTTAATTAAATTTAAATGTGAAGTGCAGACACAGCATTAGAAAGTCAGGCAAATTTTTCAAATATGCAGTAAATGCTGTGTTATATCCGTACAACCTAGCTCAAATGCAATTTTCTGCTCCATTGAATTTATCTAGACTCTTGTTGTTGGCCACAAAGCAAATTTCTGTTTCTTCCACCCTCAGAGATATTCACTGCAGTCATAGACTTTAAAAGCTGTCGGGAGATTTCTGCTTCCAGTAGAAGTTCTTCATTAGAAGTGACATTTTTTAACTGTACTGATACAGAGACAAGCAGTGCCTGCCTGCCTGCAGTAGAGTCTCGAAGCCTTGTCCTTTCCCTGTCCCTTTCCCTGGAGAAGGTGCAGTTGGTCCTGTGCCCTTCCTCCCCTTGATGCTCAGAGTGCTGCCCAGAAGCAGGAGGTGGTGGAGGCATGCCCAGTGTGTCCCCATGCTCAACCCACTTACTCAGGAGTGCCGGAGCAGATCCCAGCTTTTCAACACCCCTCAGGCAGAGCTCTGCCTAATGAGTCCCAGCCCTGGGTTTCCAGGCTAGTATTAAGCCATTAACATTTCCATTCTGAGCAATTACAAAATCCCCCTCAGGCACAGAGCTAATCTTTAAAACAAAAGGAAATAAATCAGGTTGGCTGTTTTGAGGTAGGATGGCAGAGATGATAAAGCAGCCCACAGTGTCAGCTGCAGGTTCCGAGATCTAAAATCCCCCAAATCTAGGGGACCAAGTTGATGTGAGAGGAAGCCCAGAGGTATCCTGAGATGTGCAGTTACACGGCTGTCCTGGGGGCTGGCACGTCAGCAGGGAGAGCTGTGGCTTTTACCGAGGAATGGTATCAATGCCATCTTGTTAGATCAGTGCTCTCTCATCCCAGTCCTCGCAGGCATGTGCACATCTGTGCGGTGCATGGCCAAAGTGGGAGATGAGGGGTATGTGGTTGTGCTGCTTTGTGTCATCCAGAGGATGCACTGCTAAAGTCTGCCTGTGACCTCAGTATCTCACGTTCCAGACAGGTCTTGCTTTGTGTCTTAGCATGCACTAGAAAAACAGAGAAAATGACCTCCAGTTCCAGTTTTAATCATAATCTTAGCAGTGCTTCTTTCGCCTGATTTCTTTTATTATTATTTTTCCCCTTCCGCTCATTACAGTGTGTTCAGTTCCCTTCCTGGAGCTAAATATAGACCTTTGCTGTTTCCTCTCACTGACCTTTTTTTGTCTTTGCAAATCCTCCCCAGCAACGCTGTGTAAGGCTGTTTTGATTCCCTAAGGTTTCCCTGGACATAATGCTTACCTCACGCAAGGCTTTGATCTCCAATTTGGTGGCTCTCACTTAATCTCACCGGTGTCCCTGAGGGTACTTCAGGCAGTCGCAATGGAGAAGGAGAAAGGAGGTGTCAGAACTGCCCCCAAGCCTCGTGTTGTGCCCCTTGTGGAGCTCACAGCACGGGGGCTCAGTCCCAGCCTGGCCACAGTCCCAGGCTGGATCTAGGCTGCAAGCATGTGGAGCAGGTGTGCCAAGCTGGGTATCTCTCTTACACCCAGTCATTCTCTGCACCACATGCACTTCATAGGTAATTCAGATTCAGTAAGAATCTGCTCTGACTTGAAAATCCTCTCGTTTTGATGTCTATGTAGTGCATATCATTATGCTAAGCTTTTTTCACCTTTTGTAAGCTATTTTGATAATCATTAATGGGATGTTTTCCTCTTGTTTTCTTTTAGTTGCTGTTTAGAAATATCATTTCTTTGTATAGAACAACAAAGTCCTGCAAAATAATTATTTTTCCTTTAATTTTTTTTTTTCAGATGTAACATTCATTCATGAAGGAAATAAAACATTTCTGGATAACCTTGTTAATTTTGAAAAGCTGGTAAGCTTTATTTTTTATCATTTCTGTTTTTCACAGAAATTCCTATTCTCTTCTTTCCTTTCCCCTCCTTATATGACTAAAAAGGGTTTCTTCTGAGTAAATCAGGAGGAAGTAAACAGAGGTTAACTTTGCTTCAAAGAGCAAACAGGATAAAGCAGCTGACAGTTGAACTCTCCCCTGCCCCTTCCTCTGCTCCTCTTCTCACTCATTCCTCTCCACTTCTCTGTAAAATGGTTAAACCAGAGTTACCCAGAATCAGCGCTGTGCAATCGCCTCAGTTTATTCCCAGGGGAATCTGTTCCTTTGCACCATCTTGTACATTTTTTCTCTTCGGTTACATTCTCCAGTTTTCTCTGATTTCTGTTGTCTCAAGGCACTAAAGAAAAGGTATCTCTAGTTTAACCACTCACGACTGAAGTAAAATTTATGATCTAGGTTACATGATGAATAAATGAATGTCTGAAATGTAACTCGAACTGAATGTACACACCGCTCTACTAACTCTCGTGTAGAATGCCACTTAATATCTTTGGGCTCTTCTGCCAGTCATGATGTCACCTCTATGCTATGATGATTCCCAATGAATGTTTGATTTGTCTAATTTGCACTAAATCTTTGCTGATAACGTTTCTGTAGTGCTCAAAGCCATAGCTTGTATATTTGATCTGTGCTGGCAGGGAGAAATTTTGGTTTTGTTGGGCTGATGTATTTGATCAAGAAACCAAAATGTTCTTTCTGATTGCTCTGGATGTGCCATGAGACTGTGAGTCCAGATGGCTGTTGCTGGGGAGTTGTTTTTGACTATTTTCTCCATGTGTTTACACTTGTTTGAGAATGATCGTGCAAACTGGGAGTTATTCATGAACCAGATGCTGAGCTTTTTTTTTCCCACATCCCATCATAATGTACATTGCCCTTCAACTTATAAGCAGATGTGGACTTTGACTTTTGAACCTGAGACCATCTTTTTGTGTTTCCTATTTGATTTCTGCACCTTATCTTGTTGCAGAATTGGAGAACACTGATTTGCATTTAATGAAAGGTTTTCTTGTCCCAAGTCCATTAACTGTTTGACCTTTAGGTGTTTGCATAAAACTCATTAGCATGTTCTTCTTCATTGCCTCTTGGAAGTTCATCCAATTAACATGTAAATTAAACTAGCCCTTGATGCACAGTAATTGTTACTAAAATCCCCCCACTGGCCCATATATTAATTCAGTGAATACGAAAGATCTGATTCTTTTTTGAGTCTTAGCCAGACCTTGTTTGTTTGTTGTTTAATCATGTATACATTTGATATGTGCTGGGCTTGCTTGGTAAGATTTCCTATCCTTGCTGTCACCATTGTATCTCCAGAGGTGGTGGGATCTTTACTAATTGACTTCAGTGAGCCAGGATTTCACCATTTCCATGCAAAAAGATAAATGGGCATTTTAAATGGGGGAGAGCCTCTGTGATGCATATGGGGTGAGTGTTGCTGACACTGATGTTTCCTCTGAATTGTTAGTCAGATCACACCCTGAGGAACCTGCTGTCTCACAGCTGCCTGTATCCATACGAATGCAAGCAACTGAAGTGAAGGCTTAGAAGACATTACACATTATGGGTGTAATTGTAACTCAGATAGTATATGTATCCTGGTGGTTCACTTGTTAAGTTCTATGGGCATGAGGTTACTTAACAAGACACATTACACATCTCCATGTATATGCCCATGTTTTTTTCCAATTTGTAAGGGTTTTGTCCCAAGGAAGTCTTCCTGGGTGTTTTACATTACACTGAGCTCTTTCTGGCCTCTGAGAAAAATAAGGATTGACATTGGCTCCTGCTTAGTTTGGATCAAGCCACTGAACCTCACCTGCAAATTTACTGTTGCAGAAAAAGAAGAAAAGAATTATTCTACCATAGCAGATTACTGCTTTGGGGAAGAAACTTACTCACTGTCATAAACGCGTAGAGTTTCTACTTAGGAATTTTAAAGCGAGGATGGTTTATTATGTCTTCATTTGAGTAGGTATTTTTGAAATACTTCAGACCTGCGTTAAACACCTGACCAGAAGGAAGATTTGTTTGTCTGAACTATTGTTTTTTTCTCCCAATAATATCAGTTGGCTTAATAAAATATATACTCTTTTACTGCAATCCCTGCTTATTTTATATTCTTAGACCATCATGGCCACAACAATCCTACCGTGACTGAACTTGATTTGACATGACATAATTGCAGTGAGGACAAAGTTAATTCAAAATATAAAGAAGAGAATTTGCAAAGAGAAGAAAAAGAGATGATCTTTTGTCTCTGGAATGTTATGCAGTAATAGCAAAAGTTGAAGGGATTGCAGTGGTTTATTTAACTCCTTGCTGGTTAAACTCTAGTTTACAATAGATCGATACTTAGTTTCATACCCTCTTCCTATACTAAATCTGAAGGAATAAATGAAAAGACAGTCTTTTACTGTTTCATCTCAAGATATTTCCATTATTGAGCTGCTTCAGTGAAATGTAGCTTCATTTTTTTTTTCAGTGGGTAGCCATCACCCATATCTTAACAATGGCATGTCTTAGCCACACTCCAGCAAACTCTAATACAGGTCAGTGGCCATTACTGGTTTAGATAATGACATCTTACATAGTACCTTCAGTACTGAGCTGAAGATTTTCTTCATCATAAAATCTTTCTGAAGATTTTATTCACACCCCAAATATCTGTGCAACTCCCAAGTCTGTTCTTTTCTGCTTTCATCAATTGAAGAAGTGCTAATCATCTCAAGGTAGATGGTAGGCTGAAAACCACAAGAAAGGTGTTGTTTATCACACTAATGGTGTGCAAGCATTTGTTTAAACAGTCAGGAAATATTAGTTGAATATGTGGATTTTTTTGTATTACAGTTGCATCCCAGAGAGCTGGTAACGGACAGACAGTATAATTAGACTAGTAAAGAAGGGAGATTTGGGATTCTGCTTTAGGAGAGTGTTACACAGATAGATTCTTTGCTGCCAGACCATCACATCCAGAGGCTGTCTTGATATGGACCCCACAGTGACTACCGAAAGTGAAACAGCAAAGAATGACAGTTTGTGAGATAATGGGATCTCTTACTTCTAAAAGCCAAATTCAAAGGGTAGCAGCTGGAAAATGTTATAGCAGCAGTATCAGTAAAAGTTATAGCTCTCCCAGTACTCACACTATTGACAGTGAAGTCTAGGACATCACAATGGAACATCACTATAATCAGTGCAAGGACATCAGCACAATAGCTACCTATGATTGCAGGGAAGAATGAAGCACAAGAGATAGGGAAAAAAAAGAGAAAAAAAAAAGAAAAAAACAACCTTTGATTCATTGATAGAAGGAATATGAAGAAGATTCCAAGAAAGATGTGCTGTTTTTCTTGAGATAAGCTCTCTCCTTTGGAGAGGTCCTGTAGGTGCTACTCTATGGGTGGTGAGAGTTGAGCTGTTCTGTGTCATTCTGATCTTAAAGATAATCTGCTGAAGGCAACTAATTCATTCCACCTCTGCTTATTTTTGAGGGAGATGTGAGAAGAACACAAGCAGTTCACATGAGCTGTTACATTATCACTGCTAGCTGCAATTTGTTTAAATTAGTTACCAGGTTTGGTAGTTACTGGCTAAATTCTATTTTTTCACTTTTGGGTCACTGAAGCAGTCAAATAAATAAAAAGATCAATGCTTCAACACATTTATAGGTGACATCTAGTCAAAATGAGCATACTTCACTGATTTATAGTGAACAGTTCCAGTTTTCATAAGTTGAAGACCTGAGCCTGAAAGAAACCAACCTTAAACCTTTTTATTTCCTCTGCGTTGTCTTTGTTTTAGCTGGGACTGGATTGTTTTCTTCAGAGTGTCTGGTATGATGCTGTTTTTTGGGTCTAGGAGAAAAAGTTGATAACACTTTTGATGTTATAGTTGCTGCTAAACAGTGTTGTACAGAGACAAGGCCGTTTGCAGCAAAGGGTCCAAGGACTAGGAGGGAAAGGAATTAGGACAGCTGTCTTAAGCTGGCTGGAGGGATATTCCATACCGTATGACGTTATGCAAAAGGAATTCTGAAGGGAATAAGAGTTCGTCTTGCTCTCTTCTGCTGCTTGGGGGGCTAACTGGGCATCAATCGAGGGGTGGTGAGCAATTGTTTGTGCATCACTTGCCATGTACTTTCATATATATATATATTATATAATCATAACTATTATCTTTTTCCTTTTCCCTTAGTAAGTAGTTTTATCTCAACCGATGAGTTCTACTCTTTTTTTTCTTCTGATTTTCTCCCTCTTCCTATTGGGAAGGGGGGGAGTGAGTGAATGACAGTGTGATCCTGAGCCACCTGCTGGGTTAAACCACAGCGTGCATAATCTAAGGGAACATCCAAAACTTACTGTACCTCAGAAGAACAGAAAAATAAAACTGTTTCAGATGAATGCTTCATCAAAGCAAATAACGTATCATTAGTTATGTCTTGTTAGAACAATAGAAATGGACAGACATTTGTAACTCAGAGGAGAAGTATTTGCAGATGTATGTTGTGAAGTACCAAAGAGAAATCTCCTATGTAGCATCAAGTTTCACTACCTCTACTATTGTTTCAGTGAATATTCAAGGCAGGTCTCTCTCTCATCTCCTCCCCCACCATATTTGTGGCATTACTATATGGCAGTTGCAGTGGTCTTCCAGATCAATAATGATTCTGTTAACAGTGATCCATAGATGGCTTTCATTATTCTACCACAGGGGAATGTGAGCATCAGTAGCTGCTGAAACCATGTACATTGTTACCACAGTAAACTGGGAGAAGCTGACAACTAAGAACAAATCTTCAAGATCTTCCTTATTTATATTTGCATTGGAAAGAAGAATCAAAGATCAAGTTTAGGGATTTTTTTTTAATTCCAGCATCAATTGTGGGTGAATTCTTGAGGCAAATCTTGAATAACCATGGAAAACCATAATTAATGCTTTGCTAAGACCTGAAGTCAGATTTTTTTCTAGTGGTAGTCTGAATTTACATTCAATTTTTCCAAGGCTTTGTTTTCTCAGAACTTTAAAATCTTTCCTCTGTGGTTGGAAAGCCCAGCAAAATGAAAAGTACATCTTTCTTAGAGCCACAAGGAAAAGACTGGTTCACCATCATTTCTTCTGCAATGCAGCGTGCTGTTGCAATTACCTAGGACTGTCTTTTGTTCCATGTTCTGCAGGTAGTCATCTTGTGAGTGTAGAAAGTACCTAGTGTTTTGCTGTGTTTATACTTCGACCTGTCAAAATGGGACAAAATTCTCTGTTTTGGACAAGAGGGTTATGTATCCCTGTTAGCTGATATCCTGATACTGGGACCTGATTGTAGTAGGCAGCATGCAGATGTACAAAGAGGGGTTATCTGTGCCACGAAAGGCTTACAGCCTGGTTAGAAAACTTGTGGAGACAAGAGAGATTGTAGACTACTGGAAACCCTGGATAATGAACAAGAAGCATGAGATGGATCAGAAGCATCCAGCCAACCTGCAAGACTTTCCTTCTGTAGGCTTTCAGTTTAATAGAAGTCGCAGGGACAAAAATAAGTAATTGTATGGCTGTTTTTCATTACTGCTTTCCATGGGCTCTGAGGGAGTTGTTCTCATTTAATCTGTGCAATATCAATAAGGACCTGTTCTCCCACTGCCCTCATTTTCTACTTTACTACAGTTGATTTTTTTTTAAATTTTTATTTTTTTGCTTTACAGTGTAAGCCAGGGAGTTTTTTTCAGAATTTTCTAATGACAGAATCCCTCTCAGACTTTTGCACTGATGTTTGATGTCTTGTCTTTGCAGCACATGATTGCAGATACTGTTCGATCGTTGAGACATTGCAGGAATAACCAGTTTGGTGAGTAGCCAGAATTTGTTACTTGTTTTGCCTTTTTACAGCCTTAACGCTGGTTGTTGGCTATTGAATTACCTCAGTATTTTCCATGAATCTATGAGGTGTCCTGGCTTCCAGATGCTGAAAGATGTTACTCATTGCCATGGCTTTTCACTTGGTTTCTGCCATCAGTATTTGTTTTTTTTTTAAATGAACATTTCATGCAGTGGCTGAAGTCTTGAAGACACTGAGATCCTCTGGGTTTCATTCACTAGGTGGAAAGGAGTTGGCTGTGTTTGTGCTCCTGACAGGGAAAATGTGCAAGTTGAGCTCTGCTTGTTTTGGATACTGGAGAACTTATGCAGAAAAGGCTTCTCTTTTCCACTTTCCACCCTGTTAGAAACCAGAGAATCTGACCCCTAAGGACCCATGCCGGAAGACCCTAGCTTGCTTTGTTCTTTGCTAACAGAGCGAAAACCTTGTTTTTCTCCTCTTCAGCATTTCTCATTCTCTGCGGAGAGGTTAAACGCAGGAAGGGGACAAACACAGCACTGCTTGAGGAAGTGGTTATCGTTTCTAAGCCAGAAATACTAAACATGTAATGACTAAAACTAAGGCCGCTAAAAACTCTTATTCCAAAGAGCTTCAGAACTTTGCTGTAGCCTGAATGCAGGATTTTAGTGGTTGGAGAAAAAGAACTTGAATCTTTTTTTTCAGCTGTATTTTCAGCAGCTGTCAGCACAAAGCACAGACCCTGACAAAAAGAATATTAAAAATTTGTAGTATTAATAATGTATCATGGAGAATGATAGCTACTATTAAGAGTTCTGCTGAACACTTTGTTCTACAAAATTACCGTACGTATGCACAATCTTTATTAAACAAAGGTGGCTTACCATTATGGTTTTTGTGTTATTTAGATATATATTAAGAGAAAGAATGGGAAAGGAAGAAGGGCACACCTTTTCTGTTTTTATTCTGTTAAACCAGGTGCTGAAGGAAATAGTGATTAATCCAAACTGTACCTCTGTAAGTCAGAATGTCTCTTATTTGCCATTATAAAGTTATAGCATTGATTCCTTTAATGATGCAGGGTTTTTCTGCAGCTTCTCTGCAAATCTTTTGTTTGTTTGTTTGTTTTTTAAGTGGTTTTGTAAACACCACAACATAAATCTGAGGTTAATACCCAAGATTTATCATGTAATCTGGTAGTTTGAAGTGCATGATTGTTATTTTATTTTACTGCAGACTTGATTTATTGTGAAGCTGGCATTTAGGAAGCAGCTTTTACAGATATCCCTGCAGGCATTTTATTTTTTGCTATATTCGTTTAGGCATGAAATGAATTCACTGAATATTTATTGAGACTTTATGGACAGTTTCCCTTTCTAGTGGGCATATTTTGCTCTCAGGATTGTGAATCTTTCTACTGCATCAACTCCCAGATTGGCCCAAGAGTGGCAGGCATCTTACTATAGGAAAAAAAAAAATCAAACAAAAGCAAGCAAAGCACATTATGATTGCTTATGAACTGTATCAAGTGCATTAAGCATGCAGGCCAAAGTGTTTCTGGATAAGAAGCTGATTAGGTTCCAAGCAAGACTGAAATGCCTTTTTAATGGAAATAATATTTTATTTTTACATACTAAATCCTGAAAACAAATAATTGTGTTTCCAAAATCAAGCAAAGCAGCCTGAACAAATAACATAGTTCAAGCTTTTGTAATTTCAGGTGTTAATGAGAAATACAAATGTTCCTTCGTGTCTGCAGCACAGCTGCTGTGAGCCTATTCCCCGAGAACAGAAAGGTCACCAATGTGTTCTGACACAGATTTATCACATTCTCATGTTCTCTCCCACATTTCTGAAGTCAGAGAGTTGCTTGGCTATAGCTCCTGAAAATAGCTGCCCAGGAGCACCATTAGCAGCTGTATGTGGAAGCTGCTGCTTTGACATCCAGTGTTACTTACGCTGCCTCAAATGGTGCTCATTAGAGTTAAGGAGGAACTGGTTCCTGGAAAGCTGTTGGTGTAGCTGGAGAGCATGGGAAAAAGGATGATAATGAAACAAAAGAGAGGGAGGGAGTGTGTGGGTTAAGCTGATTGGTTCTGGGAGTCTTGAGCATTTTCTTCTTTAATTGATGGTAATACTATTAATGGACTAGAGCAGAGCTCTTCAACCTTTGGCAGCCTGTCAGCAGTCGGCAGCAGAGGGCAGTGTATCTCATCGTTTCGTTTGCCTGGCTCAGTGGGTCTCAGCAGTGGATGTAGCTCTTCCTGCTCCGTTTCTGCTGGTCACCAGCACTGCTGGAAGGTTTCACAGGCAGAGAGTTCCCCAGGCTAGTGCTGGGCACAACAACTGTAGCAGAAAGTATGTGCTATTCAAGCCACCCTTCGAGTGTGAGTTGTACAGCCAACTCCTCTTGCCTTTCAAGTACCCATGAAAGAACAGCTGTCTTCTGAGCCACTGTGGTGGCATGCTGGGGGCTTGGAGGTGGCTATGGCGGCTCACAGAAATGAAAAACAGGCAAGGGTCGGCTTTCTGACCCATTCTCTTTCTCTGTTTTGTAGGCAGTGAAGTTCCTTCGAAAGAACATCATGAACTGAAGCCATACATCCACCACCTGCACGTCATCGACAACCAGCAAGCTCTCTTCGAGCTTTCTCACAGGATAGAGCCGCGAGCGTGAGCGTACACAGCTTCGTATACCTTGTAACTGCAGCACTTTGAATTAAGTGAATGTTTATGCTAAGCATGTTGCTTCCCTATATGAGAACAGTTTACTGAGTTTTATCAGTAGCTCACACAACATGCACAGGAAAATCAGGCAGAGCAAGCAAAGGAGCTGCTCGCAGAGCTGCAGGGCAAGCTTGGTGCCATCCCCACTTGTCACCAAACGGAGCAGCATTCTTTGAGCTCAGGAGCTTGGTTTCTGTGAAAATACTGTTTGGTCCAGTGTAGCTTTCAGTGCAGATTCTGCCAGTATTAGAAAGAAAGGAAGCGTCGTGTCACAGCAGCAAAACATTTCCACAAGCAACATACAGCAAGGGGATTCTCAGTTCACCACAGTACGTACCTTGCTAATTCAAGGTTGCCAAAAATACTGTGCAATCCATGCAGCTCCCCTGAGTCCACCGGAGCAGCTTGTTTGAGATAAGTACAGACAACCAGGAATGGAAACACAAAAAGGCAGTGCACCAGGTGAAACTCAAGAGCCTGTCATGATCTGGAGGCCAGAACTAAAGAGTTGATACTGTTCTGGCCCCTCAAGCATCTGCGTTGTAGGATACACTATCAGAGCCAATCCACTTCTGTTGCAGTTCCTGGACACAATTGTTTGTACGCCAAAAATACATTAATTTCTTCCTTTTCAGTTATCTCAGATTTAGTATCAGCTCCTGCAAACAATGTGTAATAAACTGTCATAGCAGGAGCTTTTTTTATCATCTTGGATTACAGCCTCTTCTGTATCTATTCCAAGGCAATGCCTAGGCTCACCACATTCCTAATGAATCTTCTGGAAATATTCTATTCCAGCAGGCAAAATGTCACCTCACTTGCACACACTTCCAGTTTCTAAAGAGCAGCTGGGTACCCCTTACAGGATACTGGGGAACCACCTGCATACACAGCAGGCTCTCAGTATTAGGGTCCTTTTCGATTTCACATAGCTAAAAGTAGTTCTGAGCACATACCGAGATGGCATTTGTAATGTCCTATCTATGACTGACCTAAGCCTAAGCACCACTATCACCACAGCTCTGTTTTTCAGTATGAAGAAGTTACCCCAAAATAATCTGGTGTATGCCACAGGCAATAGGCAGCGTGCTACTCTGGCACTGGTTTGTACACAGACTTGTAGTAACAGTCCCTTTGCAAAGCAGGGAGTTGGATGCATTGCACTGCTTTGCCTTTCACTATTGCATGTGTTCCACACAAGGAAGACTTCCAAGAAGATGCTGCTTTACTGAAATGTGGGTCTTCTGAAGTAGCACGCTCTTCATCGTAGTTTTATCTCTGGTTTAAAGGGATTAAAGAACAGCTTTAACAGGTAGTCTGTGGGGGAATCTGTAGAACGCATTCAGTTTTCCCATCTGTGAAATATTGTATAGATCTATTGTAAAGGAAACAGATGTTTCAGAAATGTATTTGCTTGTACTTTGTTATTATCAAATCCTATATGATTTTTTGTTTTTAGAAAAAAAATCTTCTTTTTACCCAGTGAAAAGAACAAAAGAAATAAACTCTTGCTGGCCATGGAGTAAAAATTTGCTATGTTCTTCTGTAGATGTGACTGCAGATGCTGTAAATAACTCTTTTGTGCAAACAGACCAAAACTGTTCAGATGAGGACACTAGCTGCACTGGGCTCCTTTTGCAGTGTAAGAACACAAACCATGGGTTGTGTTTGCTTCTTGTTTTGTTGCAATTCTTCCTCTGGCTACAGCACTCCCTGAATCCCCACCCTGATGTATTAGTTGCTTTGTTTGCTGGTTTTTGAGCTCCCCCTTGTGAAAACTCATTATGTGGCATTATTTTTAAGAGCTTGGACCTGACTGCATGCACTAGCTCATACAATACTCTACTCCACAAATTGTTTTATTGAAACATGTGGAAGAGGGAGCATAAGAAAGTACCATGGTTCACTGCATTCAGCTCTGTGATAGCTGCGGTGGTTACTGCTGATGAAGCAGCAGAGTGCCAGAGGTAAATGAAGGAAATTAAAGAAGAGGGAAAGAAAAAAAAGTGACTGCTCAGGCATTGATTGGAAGGTGTGCTGAAGCCAACCTGAAGGCACCTCACTGGCTGAAGTAAGTGGCTGGGTAATGCTGCACCACTGGGCTATAGGCCAGGTTGGGTATTGGCTTTCTGCACACTGCAACTCTACACTGAATTGGGATGCTGTCAGCCCAACAAACTGGCAGAAAACCAGTTTGAAGTCACACAGCCTGCACTAAGCACAATATCTGTGTTAAGGCTATCTGGGCTATTTATAACTTGATGAACTAATTTTCATAGTGGCCTTTCTTATTTGAATATAATGTTATGGTCTGAAGGCCCAACTTTGGTGCATCAATCTCACATTGAAAAGATGGATCTTCCGACTGTTACCTTAAAAGAAAGGCAAATAATGTAAATCTAGAGATAATCTGTAACAAACAGAGTCTTTCTTCAGCAACTGAAGTATCGCAGAGCTGAGCTGCAGTCAGGCAGGCACTTTGAAGGGTGGTTGGCGAATGAGGAGTAAACCCTGTGAATGAGATGGGGGCCCCACAGTCTCTGCCAGTGCCCAGCACAGGTAATACTGTGAGTTTTAAGTCATTCTTCCCTCTCTTATGTTATGTGGATAAAATTCAGGAATGTTCTGAGACACTTGTGGTTAGGTACTCGGCCTATTTGCATCAGTAGCTAGGAGGAATAATTAGACAAAACAAAGGAAAAAGCTTCCATGACACATTTAATTCTAGCCCCATCTGAGACAGAAGTTAACTCCATTTGCATGACACTGGTTTAAAAAAAAAAAAAGAAAAAAGAAAAAAAAAAAAGGAGGGTATTGGGAACAATAAGATGTGGCTGTAAACTGATACAAAAAGATGTAAATAGTAAACATTTCAGCAGAGTAATATTTATTTGCATAGCCTATTTATTGTCATTGTGTTACACCGTTAAGAAGTACTGGGATGAAGTCAGTGGGCTGAGGAAGAACACCTGCTTGTTACGTTCTCTCTGAGTGCCATAATGCTGTCAGCTTGCATTAAGAGTAATAAAATAGCAAATCCCAAACCAAGGTGTTTACCTAACTTCTCAGGGACTACAGCTAGTAGTTATCCACCGCTATGGGACTCAGTATGTATGAAATAATCTGATTTACCAGAATCAACGTCGCCAATGTTTTCCTTTTCATCTTACATGCTTGTCTGCCTCTGTACATATTAATTGTATTGTGTATTTATGAGAGCTAGTAAGCAATAATTTATATGTCAAAATGGCCAAGCAATACAAGGTTAAAACTTGTAAAAGCAACTGTTACGTTTATCTTGCATTTTCCAGTGTTTTTTAATATTGCTTTTCAAAATATAAAGACTAATGAAGCTGGGCTCTGTGCCTTCCTGCCTCTCACTCACCCTTATTGTTCGTCACTGATGTATTTCATACTCACACTTTCCATCATGCAGTCCTGAAACCCCTCATGGCACTTGCAAGGGGAATGCAGCATATATCAGGAGCCTGATCCCACTCAAAGCACTGCTCCAATGGGTGGGACTTGCTAATGCTGATACATTCTAGGTAGTTTCAGAAGCAGAGATGTTAATGGGGTCTCAGCTGTGCCTTATCATCACTGCACTGAGAGGGGCCTGGAGTTACTGTGAGAAGTCCCTGTGGGAGAAGGAGTAAACCTGTCTTCCAATCCCCCAGAGTCTGCTTATCAGCACTCGATCCTCTTAGTGAGGACAGGAAATGCTTTCCCCTTGCTTCAGCTGTCCTTGCTGGTGCTGCTGCATTTTCCCGTCTTCTCTCGGCTGTCTGCAGCAGGGAGGATGAATTTTAACTGGAATAATTAAGACGATGCAAGCTCAGAATGTTGACACAGCTCTATAATGTTGTCTAATGATACTTTATGGCCAGGCATCCTTTTCCAGGCCCGGCTGTGCTGAAGACTTTGTGCTCCCACCTGTTGATCGCAGTCCCTCCCATGAGATAATTTCTCCCTTCGAATCACCTCAGAAGGCCTAGGGAGTATTTCCTAACCTCAGTTAGGAGTTACTTCAAGCCCTGTGTAGCTGCACGCAAACAGGTAATTTTGCACAAAAGGCCTCTTCTTCCATCCCATTGGAACCATGGAAATGTGTAGGGCTGAGAATGGGTGCTTACAGCTGTGGGAAGGCACAAGGAAGTGAGTGGGGAATTTGCTGGGGCACTGCACAGCCCTCTGTGCAAAGCAGGGCTGACTTCCACGAGGCAATTGCTCTGTCCTATGCAGAAGTGATTCCTTCCTCTCTATATAAGAGAGAGCTCAGCCTGAGAAAATCCTCCTCGATATTTGCTGTTCCATATCTCAGCAATTTTTCCTGCCACACTGGGCACATGCCCTGGGTCATGCTCTCTTCTGCCACGGGAAGGGCAGCTGAGTACATGCAAAGCCAAGCTCAAGAAAGCAGGAGGAACAAGCAAGGGGCATCATCTTGAAAGCCTTGGCAAGCAGATCTGAAGGGTGCTGCTGACTCTTTCCAAGTCCCACTTCCCCAGTGGGAATCCTCAGGGTAAAGGCAATCCTTGTCCTTACCTGCCCACTTAAAAAATAAAAACAAAACAAAACAAACAAACAAACACAACAACAACAAAAACCCACAACAGAGAGGAAATATGTAAGATCCTCAAAAAAAAAAAAAGTGGGGGAAGGAGAAATTGGGAAAGAGGAGAGCTGTCACATAAATCCAGCAACTGAGGGGGGAAACACTTCCTTTATGTGCTCTCCTTGGGTCTGATTGGTTGTACCTGCATATATAGAGTGTTGGGCTCACATGTAAGTAGGAGCTGTTGTTCTTTTTGTGTGGGCTGGCTGTACTCCTGGTGTCTACAGTGTCTTCCAGTGAAGTTTCAGCTATCATCTCTAGTAAGTAATGAGAGCAGTTCTGGGGTGCTAAAAATGCTGGATCAATTTAGTTCAGATTATAATTTGGTAGCATAAGCCAAACTTACTTTTCCTTCTACGTTTTAAAGAAGTATGTGTCTAAAATGAGCAAGGTATGAAGATTTCTTTTAGCAGAACCAAATGACTTACAGAATACCCAAGGACAATTGTTCAGAACCTCCCTTAGTAGGTTTAAATGATGGCTCTGGAAGGAGATAGGATATCTTCACTGCACAATGTTTAGAACAATGTTTTCTTTTTGTCTTGTACCAAAAGCTGTGTGGAGTTTTCAGGGCTTCTAAAATGTAAGCAGTTTGGGTTTTTCTCCTGTTCTCCTGCAGTCGCTCTTTCCTAAAGTGCAAGTCCTTCCCTGTCCAGAGTGATGGGAAGAGCTGCCTCTGCAGGGAAATCATTTTGGTAGCATTACTGAGCTTGAGGAAGTGACGCTGGCACAGCTCATCCATTTAACCTAAGTGGTAAAGTGCCTCTTGAGAGAAGTACCACCAGCTGTGACAGATGGCTTGAAAGCACAGAGCTGTGCTTTGCTGGAGGGGAATTTACCAGGAAACCTAAGTAGGGGTGACTCAGATCTAGAAAAAATTGTTGTCCAAATGCACCTTGAACTCTAGCAGCTCGGTGCCATGGGCACTGCTCCCTGGTGACAAGCCTTTTTCTAAACCCCCACCTGATTCACAGCTCCATTCTGTTCCCTTGGGTCCTGTTGATGTCATAGAGTAGAGCTCAGTGCTGCCTGTGAGAGCTGCAGCTGCCATGAGGCCTCCCCTCAGCTCCTCTGCCCTGGGCTGAACAGATCAAAGCACCTCAGCTGCTCCTTCCTCATGCACATTAACCTCTTGACAATCATCTTCATCATCTTTGTCTCCTTCAGACGCTCTCTAATAGTTTTAGGTCCTTCCTGTATCATGGCACCCAACCTGCATGCAGTGCTGGAGGTGAGGCATGCAGAGCAGGGCCATTCTTCCCCTCACCTGGTGGCAGTGCTGGCCCTGGGCACCCCAGGATATGGTTGGCCCTTTGGGCTGCCAGGGCACACTGCTGGATCATGTTCAACTTGCTGACAGCTGGAACCCCCCCAGTTTCCTTCTGCAAAACTTCACTGAGGGATTTGGCTCAGTGCTTCTGGGTGATGGTTCTTCAGTCATAAATCTCTTGGAAGTTTCAAGTCTTCAGGTTATGTCAGGCACCTTGGGAAAACTCTCAAAACAAATCCAGCTACTGTTGCTAAGAGCGTCTCCCCCTCTTTCATTCAGGAAGACGATTTAAAGTTGTGTTGCCTACTGACTGTTGGTTGGAGACCAACTGTGAGTTGATGATGTGTTGGTAGGAACTGCCAGAGAGTCATAGAGCTCAACTGGGAATGATTTGAACGAGTCTGAAATAGTCTACAACTCACTTTCATACTCTTATCTCAGTGTTTATTTGGATGAGATTTACTTCATTTTAAGTGAAGTAATTAATTTTAAATAGTTTCTGCTGAAGAATGTAAGGCAGTTTACTTAATTAAATTTAATTTTGTGCTTTTTTGTAAGTGTGGATTTTGTAAATGTGGACTCAGTGCTCTGAGTGACTCCAGAAGACTCTGGCTTCATGCAAGAGCGAATGACAGAAATCCAGGGCTAGATGCTAAGGTTTTCTGAGGGTGCTGAGTGATACCAGCATGGCAAAGGTGGCGATCATTTTCCAACAAGAACTGGACAAGAAGCTGCCACTGCTGTCTTTTTATGAAGACAGACAGGATTCTTGAAGGAAGCATCTCTGCGAGGAGCAGATCAGCATTTTGATCAAGCAGAGGGCTTAGTTGGCATGGTTGCTTCCAGTAAAAGCTGCTGCCAGCTGGAACAAGCTTTTCCTGCAGCTAACCTGCTCCTAGCAGTAGCTTCCCTTTCAGAAATTCAGATACCATTGACATCTAGTGGTGAAGTCATGTGTCAGTTTATTGCATCAAGACTTCCAGTGCAACCTCAAGAGACTGTGGGGTATAATGCAGCCAGGAGAGGCTCCTCTGTCATCTGTGTGGTCCACTGACCCCAGTTTATTAGATTTGTTGACTCAGATTCCCATTTAAGTCGACTGATGGGATTATCTGTTCAGCCTTTTTGTACATTTCCCCCTGGATTTAGTTTCCAGCTTTTATGATGAGAGGGCACATTCACTTAGGACAGATGCTGATGGGAATAAAGACCGCTGCCTCCTCAGCTGTCAGTAGTCCCCAGAGTCAGCGTCTCATCCAAAGCTGCTGGCTGCAGCGTGAGCATTTGGCCCAGGGCAGCTTCTCCAAAAATGCCACAGAGTTATCTGTGAGCATTTGACAAAAGCAAGCAAATTCCCTGCCTGCTGGGCTAATAGTGTGATGCTGAATTCGGTGTTTCATCTAAGTAGTGGTTTTGTGGGGAAGAGTGGCAGATTTTCTCCAGGAGGTGCTGTTGAACACATGCACCTTGTTCTCTTCGTGGTGGTTTGCAGCTGTATTCACCTGACCTTTGAACAAGAGGAGGTTAAACTGTCCTGTGTAGCAGTGCTAAGCATTGATCCCAAATACAATGTGCAGCAAATGAATCATGCTATGAAAGGAAAATGGGTTGCTGCAGGTTGAGATCTTTCAGGTGTCACTGCTGCTCTGGCAGGATGCACAGTTCTGCTGGACTGTGTCCTCTAGAGCATGCACACTTCTGCACCTGTGGTAGGTGCTGTGGGGCAGATCTGCAATCCCTGTGCCATTGTGTGTCACCTCTTCAAGCCTGGGCATGATGCACTGAATTCCATGTATCTTTAGTACCTCTATGTACCCAGCTGGGTGAGGGACTGAGCATAGCTGGGGCCAACCTTCTGAAGCTAGCATGTGGCATCACAGGGAAGCTGCAGATATATAAAACAGTGGAGCATTTAGAAATCACTTGTGTTATAAGCTGCTGGCTGAAAGCCAGCGACTACTAAAAGAAGTGAGATTTGGAAAGGACAGCCATCTCTGCTGTTGATTGTGATAGCTGCAGGTTGTAGGGACCCTGGGAAAATCTGAATTCCTCCATCTTCCAGCATATTAATCAGATTCTGGGGGAACTTGGGTACTAGCAGTGCTGTGGTTTTATCGTGTGTGTGTATCATGTAACTACAAAGAAGTGTGATGCACTGGTCCTGAGTTTGCATGATCAGCCAGATCACAAACCTGGGAGAGGTTGTCATCCAGGGCGAAACTATTCTGTGTAATAACCCTTCATTTCAAACACATACACAACTCACTAACTCTGCTTTACCCTACCCCTTAAGGCATTCAGCTCATTATGGGGTCTCCCCAGAGTTCAATTTGGGGACACAAATCACTGTGCTATTGTGACTGTGGTCACTGTGATACTCACTGTTCAGCCTGGGATGGCAACTGGTACTGTTAACAAATGCTCCTCTCTGGACTCAGGAAGAACAGCGCTTATGAACAGCAGTTAAAAGAA